TTTAATCAAAATGTTTTTACTTTAATTCTGCCATTATGTTTTATTTAAATAGATTATCATTGTAAATGTTAAAACATGCTAACCTAAACAAATACATAAGGTCTGCATTTTATCTAAACCTTGACACAAATCCCTAAATTCACACAAATCAGACAATAAACACTTCATTTTAATTAATCAACTAATTTTCATAATTCAGATTTCAATTTGATCTTCAATTATTTCTTATAAATATTTTGCTTTAATTGGAAAATACTGTGCATTAGTTTATGCAGTATTGCAAAATATTATTATTTCAAATTTCAAGGATTTATATTTAAGTGGGATTTCGAGAAAAGATTATAAAAATCTTATGATAAACAAGTTGTTAAAGCATTAAAACCTTTGAAATCATTAAAAAATAGTTTAATTTGAAATAATAAATGTTACATATTTTTTTCATTAAAACTCCCGATTTAATGAAAGTATTGATCATAACTTATATTATTATTTCAATTCTTAATGAATATGCATAAGATCTGTGAAATGAAGTGTTTATTTAATAAATTGTGTGATTTTCGTGATTTGTGTCAAAGTTTAGGCAAAATGCAGACCTTATGTATTTGTTTAGGTTAGCATGTTTTAACATTTACAATGATAATCTATTTAAATAAAACATAATGGCAGAATTAAAGTAAAAACATTTTGATTAAAAAAGTGCAAATAATAGTTTTAGAAAGTCATTGATTATTACATCGACTTTTCTAGAAAATATTGTTTGTGCTAGAATAAATTAGAAAAATCATTATTTCACACATTTAACAATAAACTCTATATTCACATGAAGTTTAAGGAATTTATATTTTAGACTAAAATGATGACGACTTCCAGAGATTTCACGGGCAAAGTAGTGCTGATCACCGGCTCGGGCGGTGGTATCGGTGCTGTCACTGCCGTAGAGTTCGCTCGACTCGGGGCTCAAGTGGTGGTCACCGATCGCAGGAGAGATAGGGTGTCCGTTGTGGCCAAACAGTGCGCTGAGGCGTCGCCTACCGGTGCTAAAGCCCTGGAAGTCGTGGCCGATGTCACCGACGATGACGACTGTCGCTGATTAGTCTCAGACACTATTAAGACGTTTAAAAAGTTGGACATTTTAGTGAATAACGCGGGTCGGGGTATAAGTCAGAAGATAGGGGACGCGGATATCCTCGACAAGTATGAGCTCCTTATGAACACAAACCTCCGGTCAGTCGTACGGTTGACTCACTTATGTGTCGAGCATTTGGAGAAAACTAAGGGTAATATCGTTAACGTGTCGAGCATTACGGCCTTTAAACCGGTAGTTATATATAAAACAGTTATTTTAGTTATAATATTATATTTTAAAGCTTCCACTATGCTACTTTATTAGCCCTAATATAAAATTATATGTGCATGTTTTATAATTAGCCATCTTTTTCATACGTCTTTTCCACACATACTTAATGAATGACCATGTTTAAATAAATATTGTAATAAATAAGATTTTATTAATATTTAATAATTTTTGAATAGAAATGGTTATCCTATTCAATTTCAAAGGCGGCGCTGGATATGTTCACAAAGTGCGTAGCGCTCGAGTTGGGCCCCAAAGGCATCCGGGCTAACGTTGTCAAGTATGTGCTTGCTTATACAGTGTTTATTTGATTAATACTACAGAGGGTACCCACTTTGTTTTATATCATTTATATTTTAGACACTATTTTAAAACTAATGAAAAGTAGAAAATTATTGTTATCATTGTATTCAGCGATAAATAATCTATTTAATGGTACCAAAAAGTACACAAATATCTCAAGCAATGGTTAAGGCTTTCGGGTCTGAAGTGAACCTATCGGTCAAAATAGTTTTAAGTAATATCCCATTGAAAAGCATTGCTGTGTTCACACACTTTCGCAACCCTGCGTATACTTCCCATACATTTATATAATGGAGTTTCTCGGAGTGGAAACTATTTTGACCGATAGGTCCACTTCAGACCCGAAAACCTTAACCATTGCTTGAGATATTTGTATACTTTTTTGGTACCATTAAATAGATTATTTATCACTGAATTCAATGATATCAGAAATTTTCTACTTTTACATTACAGTTTTAAAATAGTGTCCAAAATATAAATGAAAGAAAACAAAGTGGGCACCCTCTGTAAATTAATGTGCTTGTTACTTTCAATATTTTTTCTATTGTAAAAGTCCCGGTTCTGTAAAGACCGAGTTTTTGGAAATCAGTCTAAACGTGAATAAAGCAAAATCGGACGAACTTTTGGAGGGCATTGCCATGAAGTGCCCCATGGGACGGGTGGGTGAGCCCATGGATGTGACAAAAGCCGTGTTGTATTTGACGTCCGATGACGCGTCGTTTGTGACCGGATCCAACTTCGTGGTCGATGGGGGCCTACAATATGTCTAACATTCATATTATCATATTATGGACATGTTCAATTATTGGCCTTGGTATATTTAATCAAGACTACAGTTTAGGGCAATATTTATGCATTAGTTTTGTATTAACCATAAACAGTAACATGTGTAATTTTGGTAAACATTGAATAGATTTAATCCAAATTTACAACATTAGATTAATTATGAAATACAATTTATTACCATTTAATAAATAATGACTGATTTTCTATTGACTTACGTATTTGTTCAGGTTAGTCTGTTTTAACTTTGACAATGATAATACAGTACATTCAAATATTATAAATCTAGTGTTACAATTAGTATATTCATTTTTTATGAAAATTAATCTAGAAACTAATCTCACTTTGTCTATTTAATTAAAAGCAAATTATATAAAGTTGGGACATTGTGCAAGCTTATTGTTGATGACCTTTACGAAAATGTTAATACGTGATAAATAAATTATTTTCACAAATCATTCAGAGAATTATGAAAACAATATTTATTCAAAAGCATAATCTCTATAAACATCTAGAATTGCGTGAGTAACCTTTTTTTAGTATTATATATTTTTAGTTTTATTTTATAATGTGTATTATTAAAAATTTATTTATTATTTATTTTTATATAATATTGCCATAAAATTATAATACGGCACTTAAATATATTAGGTAAATATTAAATACAATAATAAATAATGTGTGGCTATTTACATTTATAAGTAAATATTTTATTCATCACAAACATTAATCAAATTAATGAAACCTTTTTTAAAAATAAAACTTTTATCACATAGCCTACATTCTGTAGTACTGTATACTCATACCAATATTAATAAAAAATTATTAAATGACGTTTTAAACCAAATGAAAATGTTAGTTTTAAATACATATTCAAAATTATACCTGAATATATTACTTTGGTTTCACCGTATAATTGGCATATCATTTGGTGGACTAACTATTGACACCAATGGACGCATATATTCACGAAAATTATACAAATATTATTGTATTATAATACAAATTATTGTACTCATGTGGGAGTTATATGTATTTTGCCTGATTATATCACTCATAATGTTATCATTTAAGAATGCTGAATCTATACCCAGGCAAATACTAACCGCACAAATAGCATTTATACCGATGTTTGTATTGGGATATATACTGAAGTACTCCATAGTATTCCTAATAAATGGTCGATTGGGTTATGAATTGATTGCTAATTACGTGAAATTATTATCTATTGAAAGTCAATGTAAATCGAGTGATAAAAGTATCAAGATTAAAATGTATATATTTGTGATTTGGTTGATACACTTGCTGTCAATAGTAGCCATATTTGTGTATACAGTTATGATTGATTATAATAATGATAGGAGTTATGTAGGTTTGATATCATCATACATAGGGTTATATTATGGTTGGATAATACCGGCAATGATCTGGCTCATATCGGTTTCCGTTTACTGGATATTGGATTATATTGAAACAGTAATAATCAAAAGCTGTAAAACAGGTATATTTTATAAATTAATAAATTAGCTTGTATAGTTACATTTGTAAATTTATTAAATTATTTAGATAATGTAAATGAGCAGGTAAAATGTGGGGAAATTATAAAACTTAAACAACTTTACATACAGTTGCGAGATATCATTGAGATATTGGACATTCAACTGAAGTACATACTGGTGCTCAACACCATTAACACCGTATTTGGTGTAATGACTCAGATCTATACCCTGGTAGTGATCGGTCCCTTCCGACACAATAAGACATATGACAGAAATAATAGCCTAACAAATGGTGTGATATTGTGGTCGTATTCATGCATCGAATCCACAGTTGAAATGATTATCTCGTGTCTCATCTGCGGATCAGTTCAACAGAAGGCTAACAATATTAACGCCAAAATGGATGCCATGAGCGCCGGGAGGCTGTCGGACAGGGAGTACAGGGAATGG